CCCCTGGTGGTGAAGGTCAGGTCCATGTTTAGGCTGGAAGCTCCTCAAGGGTGGGGGCTAAGTCTGATCAGTCACTGTGTCCCAAGGCCCCGGGACATAGTAGGGACTTTGTTGGATGAGTGAGTGAGTGAATGAATGAATTGCGAACCGGCCACCTTGAGTCTGCCCCAAGACAGCACCCTGCCCCCCTCAGAATATTCAACAGGTGTCGGCTCTGAGATAGACTGAATGACTCAGTGAATGAACGAATGGCTTGAACAAAGGAATTTGGAATGACTCGGCTCCCTTCATCCTCATACGTCCCGTGCACGTCTCTTGAGTCCCTACTGTGCGTCCGGACGTGGGATGAATCAGACACGGCATGGCTCCCGGGCCGGGGCGGATCGGGGGATTTCGCGTGTGGCAAAGAGGCAGATGTGTAAAGGAGGAAGGGCAATACTGTAAGTATTGCAGGGGACAGAGGGACTGTAAGATAAGCGCCAGGACACCAGTAAATCGAGGTCGTCGAGGAGCAGGGTGGATTGCTGGTTGGGCTGCTGGACGTGCTGTGGCCCCGTGCTAGGCAAGGGGGCAGTGGAGGCGGACAGACACGCGAAAACACATGTCAGTGGCGGAAATTAACAGTCTAGTTGGGACCGGCATGTCCACACTTGGACACACACACACACACACACACACACAGAAAACTACCTGAGCTAACTTTGCTGGTTGAGTTGCATCTGGGGGAGCTGGAGAGAGGAGTCGAGCTGGGGGCCAGGTTGGGTTCGGTCAGGCCGAGACAGAGGGTGAAGGACTTTAGCCATCGTTGAGTGAACAGCTCCAGCGGGCCGGGCACTAATCCAGCTGGTGGGTGCCACGGACAAAATCATGCACCTATAGAACTTACCATATGGTGGGGGAGAGATGCTAAGGAGACAGGTAAAAGAGAAACGTAATTTCAAGGAGACCGTGTTAGGAAGAAAATGAGCTAATACTGGCGTATAGTGGGCATCACATAAGTAAAAATGAAGAAATCAAAATAAAACAGGGAATGTGATCGGCAGCTATTTTTTGATGAGGGAGCCGGAGAAGCCCTCTCCGAAGAGGTGGCATTTGAGCAAAAACCTGAATGAAGCGAGAAAGTGAGCCATGTGGAAATCTAAGGGCAGAGAATGCCAAGCAGTGAGAGCGGCAGGTGCCAAGGCCCTGGGGCAGGAGCATGCCTGTCAGAGGAAGAAGGAGGCCAGTGTGACTGCAGTATAGGGAGCGAAGAAAGGTGGCAGAAGACGAAGTTGGTGAGGCTGGGGGTGCCAGGGCAGGCAGATCGGGTGGAGGGGGAGCCTCGAGGCCATGGCCAGGGCACTGGGTCTGATCCGAAGCGTGACAGGGTGTGATATGGTCGCATCAGTAGGGAATTGGTCTGTATGTGGATGGCATTCCTACCCCCCACTGCCCAGCCCCGGCCCCCGTTGTCCCCTTTCTTCTGAGTCCAGCAGAGTGTGTGAGAAGAGCAGAGACTCCAGAGTCAAACCTTCGTTCAGATCCAACCACTGATGGGCAACCGCCGTGTGACCTTGCGCTCCTTTTGATGCCTTAGTTTCCTCGTCTGTAAAATGGGGAAGTGCTGAGCACCTGGCGCGCAGCACAGTAAGCCCTCTGTGCGGTTTAGACTGGTGGCTCTCAACTGGAACAGCCCGGTCCCCCAGGGGTCACTTAGCAGTGTGTGCAGCCTTCCTTGGTTTTCACAGCCGGAGAGGAGCTGTCTCATCTAGCGACAGAGCCCAGAGATGCCGCTAGACGTCCTACGATGCACAGGACAGCCGCCACTACGAAGATTCTTTTTTTGGCCCTAAATGTCAGTAGCGCTGAGGTCCAGAAACCCGGCTTTAGATTAGCGCCACCCGGGAGAAAACAACACGGGTCGTGTGTGCGTGTGTGTGTGTGTGTGTGTGTGTGTGTGTGATTTTAAGTATCCCAGGAGTCGCATTAAAAAAAGAAAGGAAGGCAACAGGTAACGTGGATTTTTGTAGCCTATTTTACTCGGCCCATGGTGTCCAAAATATTGCCGTGTCAACTTGGAATCAATAGAAGAAGTATTAGAGACATTTGGATTTTTTTTTCCCGTGCTATGTTCTTGCAGCGTGGGTTGTATTTTACAGACACAGCTCATCTCAGTTTGGACGGGACACATTTAAAGGGCTCTTGAGCCACCGGTAGTAAGTGACTGCTGTCCCGGGCAAGGCAGGTTTAGATCAGGCTGTTCCTGAAGTTCTTAGCACAGTGCCTGCGTCTGCTCCTGGTGACTTTAATGGTTTTCTTTCTTTTTTTCCCCCCCTCCACCCCGCGCCACCGGCCGGCCGTCGCCCACAGGAGACCTGTGCTAGGATCCTCCTCTATCGAGGAGCTAACAAGGATGTGAAGAATAACAATGGACAGACCCCCTTCCAGGTCTGGAGCTGTCAGGGCTGGTGGGGGGCACAGAGGAGACAGGGGGTGAGGAAGGCAGGCAGGTAGGAGTGCTGGCTGAGAGGCTGGCGGTCTGCGAGAGGACGGAGGGCGCAGTTGCGGGGGTCCAGGTTTGAGAGGGGCAGGGGCGGGGTGTGTGTGTGTGTGTGTGTGCAGCTGGCCCGGGACCTCACAGTGCTTCCCGCCCTCTGCCTGGGCCACCCCACTTCCCTCCAGGTGGCTGTGATTGCTGGCAATTTTGAACTGGGGGAGCTGATCCGAAACCATCGAGAACAGGATGTGGGTGAGCGAGAGGGAGGTGGGGCTGAGGGGAGAACCTAGCGTACTTGGGGGTGCATGGGGGGACTGGGGGGTCAGCAGACTGTGAGCGTCTGAGTAGTAGTGGGAGGGGCGATTCCAGACCTCCAGTCTTACGTCTTTCTCCCTTCATGCCTCTCCCCCATCATCCCTTGCCTGCACACCCCCTCCGCCTGCCTGTCTCCCCTGCCCCTTCTGCCCCCTGCAACTGTGCCCTCTCAGTGCCCTTCCAGGAGTCCCCCAAGTACGCAGCCCGGCGACGGGGACCCCCAGGCGCAGGGCTGACGGTGCCCCCGGCACTGCTTCGGGCCAACAGTGATACCAGCATGGCCCTGCCTGACTGGATGGTGTTTGCCGCCCCGGGGACCTCGTCCTCTGGGGCCCCCGGCCCTACCTCAGGGCCCCAGGGCCAGTCGCAGCCCTCGGCCCCCAGCACCAAGCTCAGCAGTGGGACCCTCCGAAGTGCCAGCAGCCCCCGGGGCGCCCGGGCCCGCTCCCCATCCCGCGGGAGGCACCCTGAAGAGGCCAAGAGGCAGCCCCGTGGACGGCCCAGGTAGGGGAAGGCTCAGCCCTGGTCCCACTGACCCCAACCCAACCGGATCCCATCCTCGGAGCCACACTCCCCCCACCCAGGCTGGCCCCCCCAACCACCCAAGTCCCCGGTCCCGCCCTCAGGCCTCCAAATCCCTCTCCAGACCCCTGAGGAAGAGAGGGGGAGGAAGCCACAATCTTGCACCTGTCCCCAAGTGGAACAGTTTAGCCAAGCACCTGCTCAATGCCAGGGGCTGAGGGGAGGGAACCCAATAGAATGTTGGTTCCAGCCCCTGAAGACAGACAGACAGACAGACAGACAGGGCAAGGTGAGAAGAAGCCACACAGGGTGGGGGTGGGCAAGGGGCTTGGGGGAAGGTGTCTGAGCTTGAAGATGGGCCAGAGGAGGGGAGGGGGGGGCAGAGGAGCCACTCGGGGTAGAGGGGAGGACGGCAGGGGACTTTCCGGGGTAAAGAGGCCAGGCTGGCTGGAGGAGGGTGACAAGGGGGATGTGGCCGGCCAGTGTGTCCCAAGGACACAGGAGAGCGAAAAATCATGGCGGGCTGTGCACGGCGGGCAGAGAGTTGGACCCGCACCAGGAGGAAGCTGGGAGTCGCTGAAGGCTCGTGAGCGAGCTGAGGGATGACACATTCAGAGCCCCGCTTCAGGAAGCTGAATCAGGCACGGCGTGCAGGACCGTGGGAGGGGCAGAGCCGGAAGCCAGGAGGAGGCAGAGGAGGGGCCCAGGGGGCAGCAGTGGGCAGGCAGAGGGAGCCCCCAAATGCCCTCTTCCCCCAAGGATGCCAGAGCTGGGAAACCCACGCCCCCACTCTATGCTCCATCCTCCACCCCCATGGACCCCTGTTCTCCCAGGGGCTCCCCCTCCCTCCACTCTCCCCTGCCTCTCACACCCTCTGTGTATGCAGCTCCAGTGGGACGCCCAGGGAAGGGCCGGCAGGGGGCACAGGGGGCTCAGGGGGCCCTGGGGGCTCCCTGGGCAGCCGCGGGAGGCGCAGGAAGCTCTACTCGGCGGTACCCGGACGCTCCTTCATGGCCGTGAAGTCATACCAGGCCCAAGCGGAGGGGGAGATCTCCCTGAGCAAGGGCGAGAAGATCAAAGGTAACAGGGCAGGGCCGGGCCGGGCTGGGGGGGCGGGGGGCGGCAGGTGAGCTAACCCCTCAAGGACGGGAAGGCCGAGCACGAACAGTTCTCCAGGGCCTAGAATTTCCAATGCTCTGGAGACCTCAGAGAGCCCCTAGACACCCCTTACACTCTGGAGGAGCATGATGGGTAGCTGCGGCGATCCTGTCCCTCGGGAGGAGGTGTCGAGGCAAGAGTGGAAACTAGCATTTGGGGGACACTGACGCCACGCCAGGCCCTGTGGGAGTGCTCCCCTCACAGGAGCAGCCTTTTGGAAGCGTGTCAGGAGCCCATCTTCTAGTTGAAGGGACAGAGCCTCACACAGGGGCAGCGACTTGCCCCGGGGTCTGAGCCCACGGTCTTCCCTGCCACCCGGTGTGAAGCGTGGAGGCCAAGCCACCTTGGCCGCACCTCCTGCCCCCATCCGGTGCTCTCATCCGAGAACCAGGGTGGGACCCGCTTCAAGGGGCTCTAATGAGACAGGTGTTCGAAGCCCGGCCCGTGCGGGGGGCCGGTGCTCCCTGAGCGGCGGCTGCTGTGACTGGGGTTTGCCTCTCTTTGGTTTTCCTGTCTTCTTCTGGAAAATGGTGCCAGCAGCCCTCACATGCAGACTTCGCAGGGCTGTTGACGTGTGTTCTTGGATAGAATGAAGCTTGGAAACAGGAAGCAAGCAGACGCGGCGGTTAATGCAAGGCGGGGGAGCGATCCTTTGCCGGCTCCAGGCTACAGAGGAACTGAGTAGTGTAGCGGGTGGAGGGCCAAGCTGCCTGAGTTCAAATCTTGGCTCCACCGCCACTTTCCGGCTGGGCGCCCTCAGACAAGTGCCTGCTCTGGGCCTCAGTTTCTTCATCCGTGCAAGGGGACCCTGGGGAGGATTTTAAAAAGTCAGTTCCCTTAAGGCACCCAGGACACTGATGCGCACATAGTCGGCACCAGTTGTCATTATGCTAAGTGGGTCCCCACTGCAGGAGCTTAGAGAGGAGAGAGAGAGAGAGACAGACAGACAGACAGACAGACCCCGGCTGCCCATGAAAGCTGGGGCGGGACGGGTCCTCCCATGGGAGACAGGGTTTGAGTGGGGACTCGAAAAGTGTGCAGGGATCGGAGCATCAGATCGATTGTGTATCAGTATCTGTTTTGCAGCGTCTCTTGCCTTGCCTGAAGGCAAGGTCACATGTCACTGAGCTTTGGGTTGCCAGGGCCCAGTTGGATGACCCGGCACACAGGAGGCCTCAGTGCACATGCGCTGAGTGAGTGAGTGAGTGCATGAATGGATGGCCAGATGCAGGGGCTAACTGTGGGGGCAGTGCCTCCAGAAGCAGGTGCCTGGAAGTGTGTGTGTGTGTGTGTGTGTGCGCGCGCGCGCATACTCATGCGCAGAGGGTCAGGTCTGTGCTTTGAGACAGAGTTTGAAAGAAGAAAGGGAAGCTAAGGTCAGAGGGGAGACACCTTCCATGCCTTCTCTGCGCTGTATCTTCCGCGTTTCTTTCTGAAATTCGAGCCCAGTACTTCTGTTTTTGTATCCTTCCACTTCCTGAAGACACTGAATTGCTTCACAGCGGGCCAAACCCACAGTGCCCCTGAGCTCCTCCACAGCCCGATGAGGTAGCAGGCTCCCTTGGCCCTCAGTGCCTTAGCCCGGCCTGCAAGCCCCTCCCCCGCCCCCATCCGGTCTCTTTCCTCCACCCACGGGGCACCAGAGACTTCATTGTTCTCTCCATTCCTCGAATGCCCAAGCCCCTTTCCACACCCGGCTCTTTGCACACACCCGTTCCTTCTGCCGGAAAAACCTCTCCTTCTCTCTTTGCTTCTTCTCCTCCTAGGATCCTTCCGGTCTCAGTCTGCATCGCATGTCCCCTGGGACATCATCCTGGCACCTCTTTGCCCTTTGCACCTCGACTTTATGTACCCCCATGTGGCCTTTCTTCGGAAACCCTGTCCTTTTCCCCTAAGGTGCTGACCTTAATTTTCAATCACGCAGTCACTTACGGGGCTACGCCTCTAACAGCTGCCAGCAGGGAACATCCATGAAGGCAAGAATCACATTTGTTGTGTCCATGGGCCCTCTACCCGGCGTCTAGCCTGGGGCCTGACTCCCGACCAGCACTAAATAAAATATTTGTTCAGTGACCGAACAATTGATTCCACGACCACCCAGCCGGTCACTGGAGAGCTAGCCAAGAACCCAGACCCCTCGTCACCCTATCTCCTGCTCTCTTCCATGACCTTGAGTGTCTCCTCGATTTGGTTTCCCCAGCTCCCCGCCCCGAGGGTGGCAGCGTTTAAGCCGGGGGGGGGGGGGGGGAAGCATCAGATGGCCCCAGCCCAAATCCTAGCGTGGCTTACGCCATCTCTGGGCAGGGGGCTCTTCTGCGTTCGTGTCTGTAAAATGGGAAGTCAGTTGTTGCCTCCCCAGGTAGGTGCAAGGAGTGAGTGAGGGAAGCGTGTGAAGGGACGGAGTGGAGACAGAGCAAGTGACCTGGGCCCCCCGAGCCTCAGATTCCCCATCGGTAAAATGGGGAGAGTAAAAGTGTCCCTTCTTAGGGCTCTGGCCACGAGTGAGAATTCGATAACCATTAGCTGTCCCTGATGCCCAGCTTTGCATGTCAGCACCCGGCACGGCCACACCAGACGCCGAGCGGGTAGTCAGGACACGTGTTCTATGGCTAAGAGATGAGGCCGGCAGGAAAGGGCTGTCAGGTACAGGTGGCGGAGAGAAAGAGGGGATGCCGATCTCTCCTCCCTTCCGGAGCCAGGGGAAGGAAAGAGAGGCAGAGGGAAGGGTCTGGGAGCAAATGACAGAGGTTTGAGTGGCAAGGAGACTGCGGCCGGTGGCAGAGGGCACTGATAAGAATGTCAAAGGGTTTAGGGAGACTAGGAGGGTTTAGGAAAATTACAGAACAATCAAGCTGTCCCTGGCTACCAGGGGAGATGAGGGCTCTTTGTGAATGTGTCCGTAACCCGTGAGGACCGTGTCACCAGACCCAGCCCTTTTTCCAGTGCGCCCTCATGTCCCCATTGGATTCAGAAGCTAGAAAGCAGGAGCGATATGGTTTGGTTCCCCCCCGCCAACTCCCTCATCCCTTCCTTGGACATTTTTTAAGGATGCTCTTGGGCCAGGCCCTGTGCTAGGTGCCGGGCACTGTGGAAAGGCTGCGCATCGAGTACGTTGGGGGTGGGGGGCAACATGGACACGTGGAAATGTTTCTGTGTCCCTGCTCCCCATCCAGTGCTTAGCATCGGGGAAGGAGGCTTCTGGGAAGGCCAGGTCAAAGGTCGCGTTGGCTGGTTCCCCTCTGACTGCCTGGAAGAGGTGGCAAACCGCTCCCAGGAGGGAAAGCAAGGTAACGAGGACTTGCCAGTTGTCCCCAGTGCATCCTAGGGTTCTCATGGCCCTTCCTTTCCCCCTCCCGATGGGGGTGGGGCACTGGGAGGTAGATGGGACAGCTTGGGCCAGGACCCCCCGGGGGTGGGCTCATGGTTTCCAGAGCGAGGGTCCAAGGTCGTCCCTTGTCCCCCTGCAGAAAGCCGCAGTGACAAGGCAAAGAGACTCTTCCGGCATTATACCGTGGGCTCCTACGACAGCTTTGATGCCCCAAGGTAAATGTCCTACACCCTCGGGTGCCCCTCACCCCAAGCTCCCTTCATATTCCACCTTTAAATATTTCCACCACCTCTAAGCCTCCTTCCTGCTCCCTCTAAAGTTTGATCCAGAGGTGGGAGAAGGCAGAGGTAGCTTCAGACCACAAGCCCAGTCCCAAACCATCCTGGGCAGCCACTGAGACTGCCCAGTTTTGGGGTAGCCTGAGAGCAGTGGGGTGGACAGCTGAGGACGGGGAAGCTCGTGTGTGTGGCTGGCTGGAGGCCTTTGTCTCCTTCATGTGCCCCATCTTTATGTGCAGCACAGGTGTGTACATCCCATGCCTCGCACCGGCGTGGGGAGGGGGGCGGGCAGAGCTGGGCCAGGAGGGGTGGGAGTGGAGAGACGGGCACACTGACACCTTTCCCCTCCCTGGCTGCTGGCTGACTTGCTTCAGAAGCTTGATGGATGGGATTGGCCCAGGGAGGTGAGAGGGGAGGGGAAGGGGGGGGGGCACGGGGTCAGGAATGGGAAGAAAGGGGTGCCTGGGGATGTATGGACTTGTGTGTGCACGACCAGAGCTGGTTTCCCTGTGCGTGAACATCTTACACAGGCGAGCGTCCTTGTACGGATTCTCCGAGTGTGTTCTTGCCCATGTGTCTCTGTAGGTGCGCATGACACGTGTCTGTGTGCATGGGTGGCTCGAGAGGCCCCTAGACGTATAGCCCTGTGTATATACATGCCCATGATGGCGAGAGGATCTGTCCCAGTCTGTGTAGATGGGTGCTTTGTGGCTTTCATTTACGGGCACACGATTGAGGCTAATCGTGTGGCTGCCTCTGCACATCTGTGTTTCCCTGAATCTGTGTGTCTGAGAACGAGGGCAAGTGTTGCCGGGGATGTCGGTGTGTCTGCTTACCTTGTATGGACAGGTGGGTTTCTGCACACGTCTCTGTCTCCTTCTCTGCATGTCACTGTGCGTGCGTGTCAGCCCATAAAATCGTGTGCATGCATTTGCATCTGTCCGATTGATCTGGAATTGAGGACCTGGGGCGTTGGGGGAGGGGAGGGCAGAAGAGGGGAGGATTCCAGGCCTTGGGCTTCCAGAAGGGCAAGACTGTGGGGGAGGGATGGTCATAATTGGGTGTCTGAAAGATGACACCCTCCCCCACCACCCCCCCCCCCCCATCCAGGGAAGGGTCTCCTTGTTTGTAGCATCCTTCCATTAAATGTGTCCAAACCTATGTGTCTGTGTTCTGGCCAGTGGGGATGGGCAGGGGGGGAAG